CTCGGTGAATTATCCAGGTGAGGTGAATACAGCCCGGAGACTGAGAATTAAGACTGCCTCCTGTGAAGACATGGCAGGATTCGATAGTAAATAATGCAGAGCAAGTTTGAATTCGTATTAATTGCTGATCAAAGCTGTGTGAGAGCTTTTCTGACAAAAGAGACGTCCTCGTAATTGCACTCTACACCGCACATTTCAACTCTTAAACGGGAGCAAAACACAGAGCTGTATTCCATAGCAAAGAGTGAGAGCAGGGCTGTTAATGCCACATCTGATCTTTTGCTAGAATATCTGTGCTGCAGCATGACAGCGCTCCCTGCAGTGAGTCTTTTTTCCCTTTGCAACTCCTCCACTGAGGCATGATTGCAATATCAGATCCTCAGCATCAGTTTCAGAAGTTCTGAATGCTCTGGTAATTTAAGCCCTGAGAAGCTGGAGGAACCTAGCATCTTGTAATCCCTCAAAGGGAGTGACTGTTATGACCATAGGAGTAAAGTTTTCGTGTATCGCCAAACCAATACACAGTGAAAGACACAATTCTTAGGCGATTTCACGTGTTTCATTGCAAGAGTCCTAGAATTCCTGCTACCGTTAATTCTGCAGTTGCTTGTTCTGTAAAGGTTGAAAATTTTTCAACTCCCGGAAAAAGAACTGCTTAGATGAAGTTTGTTACCCTCCACCTCTGCCCTCCCAAGCAGTATCACCACAAATAAATGGGACAGAGAAAATATTTAGTTATTGATTTATTGGGTAACACCTTTTAAAATTTGGACCTTTTCTCACGATGTTTTTTTAGTGACTCCAAACCGGTTTTGAAAACTCTCTCTCTAGGAAACTGCCAGTGAGATGAAAGGATTTTTTTCAAGTAATCGTAATTTATTGATAGAATATTAGAAACTTCAAAAAGCCTGGAAGTCAGACCATTTCTAGAACTTTGAGTATCTTATAACAGACACTTTGCCTTCCCATACTGCTGCTTACGGACTAGAACCCTCTTTCATTGCTCCTCTTCACTGTATACGGCAAAAATAGAGTTGTTTGAAAGCAGTGACGGACAGAAGCAATTCCTTTCCCAGCAACAGATACCACCATAACCAGCACAACCAACCAACTCAGCAGGGTCACGCAAGAGGATAGAGTGCTGAAGAATAATTTTTCAAGCCCCATTTTAAAATATACAGCACGTTATTTATAGTGCATTGGTTTTTAGGTATGTACCTGCAGTGTTTTGCTGGCCACTGCACTGGATACCTACTTGGAGGGAAGTTAGTTCATCATCTGCAGGTTTTCCTGGCACTTCTGTCTTCCTGAATGCTCTTGATACGCTACAGTTTTGCCCCCCCTCCCACGTTTCCCAGCCTGACACAGCTTTTGTGTGACATGTTCTCGTGGCTTTACATCTTCTATAAGCTTCATGAGCCAAAATTAA